AAAACATATATTAATTCAACGCACACTTAACTTTTCCAGCTCCTTTACTCTCAGCGTCTCAACCAAACAGCTGAGGTCAAACAGAGGCTGATGCCAAACTGAGTCCAACAGATGTTTGGAAAAATCACTGACTGGGAATCTGCAGAGTCACAGTGGAATTTACAACCAGAGTATTGACGTGTTCTACTTTAACCCGCAGGCATTTGGAATTTGTGAAGCTGTCACAAAGCCTATAGAGATGTTTTATCATTTTTAACAACATCATTTATTTGGATTTAAAGTCAAATAGTGCAATGAAGCAGCAAACTTTTCTCACCTGCCGAAGTCCCAGTTGGCCAGAACTCGAGCGGGGATCACAGCTTCAGAACTGCTGTGACAGCACTCACAGAAATATCTGTTTTTCACCAAGAATGTTCCATCAATAACGTGCAGGTGTTGACAATGTCTTGATAAACCGATCAGGCTAAATCGATCGATCGTACCTGTTCAGGTATGTGCAATACAGCAGTTTCTTGATGTATTCTGGAAATCACAGACAGGTGATTTTGCATTAGTTTCCCCACCCTGACCTGCAGTTGATCACTCACAGACCAACGTTCCTAACAACGATTACCATAGCATTTGACATACAAACGATTAAGTTCACCTCATTTCTAATCATTGGAGACAATATGGACTAAAGCAGGTACAGCAGTGTTAACCTGCAGACCAGAATTTGGATTTTGTTTTTTCCCCACTCACTTGGCTCCACCTCCGTTCCACATCCTGCACACAGATAGTTCTGTAAGGCCATCACCTCACTGCGCCTGCCAGAGGAACAACACTTTAGACGCCCCTTTTTTTTTTTTTGCACATCTTTCCATCATTTTGTTGATCTCCAGTGTCAAACCTGAGCGTCGGCTGAATCTGGAGAATTAACTGGAAACGCGGAGGTGTCCAGCTTACACTCCCACTCCTACAGGTCCTTAGTTTCATTCCGTCTCTCAGGCACCCGCCGCTTGGTGACATACCGCCGGTTCCTGGTAACTGAAGACATGAATTTGTTCTCTCTCTCTCTGTTAGACTTGCCTGCTACAAACAAACTAACTAACGCTAACTTTTAGCTTTATCCTTCTGCAGCTAAAAGTCACCGACCTCCTGCAGTGAACTACGAAGGCTCCGACGTCCACGCTGAGGCTTATGGGAAGGAAGCCAGTTCCTCTTAAACTCCATCACCAGCTGCTGGGCCAACCACTCTGCTCTGCGTTGGAGGAAACAATTGGAGAAGATGAAGTTGAAGTGTTTAACTTTTAACTTCAAGTAGGCTTGTGTTTTATAGTTGTATATAGTAAGTTCTAAACACATTTTTTTCATCTACGTATTTTGTTTTGGCTCTTTTATGGGAGCCATTGGACACATTTGATCTTTTTTTTTTCTTGCCTTCTGAGGGAATCTGGAGGCATCAGTCTAACGGCTGGACCATCTGAGCTTCAAACAAAAGAACAAAACGTTTTTTTAATCACATTAAATTGGTTTAAAAAAAAATACTAGATCTACTACTAGAACTAAAACCCTTTCTACTCTCAAAATTTGGGTTCAAAGTTAATGGCAAAAGTAGTTTCACCTTCAAAATCCTTGCTACTCGAGATGGCAGAACTCTTAGGTCTGGCCTTTGTGCGTGAGCGTGTGAGCGTGCATCGGCTTGGGTAAGCCTGAGGATGGTTCTTCTGCTGCAGCTGCTGTTGCTGCTGCTGCTGGGTGCTCAAAGTCCACTTGGCTGTTTCCAGTATGTCCAGAACCATGTCCACAACTACGAAATGAGCGTTCTCCTAAAAATGCACACACAGAGAGCGTAACGATTATCCTCATTATTCTTTATTTTTCACGCCACTGTAACGTCTTCACGTCGGACACAGACCTGCTCCAGCTCGCTGCAGGTCTTGAAGGAATCGACTGAGAATTCTGGGAAAACACTACTGCAACTGCTGGGTCTAGAAAGGGGAGACTGATCTGAAACACACACACACCCGGACAAATTGTGATCTTCACAGTTCACAGAGACATTGGGACCAATGTTGTGCCACTACTGGTGAAATTTGTGTGTCATGGA